TCCTAAATACAGTCTAATGTCTATTTATCTTCTCAGAAACACTAGAGACGATAGCTACTGCTTTTGTGCAATTACCTTCCTAGGTTTCTGAGACCCGATTCTCTGATTTTATTCCTTCTTCCTAGTTATTCTTCTCCAGCATTTGAAGACTCACCTTTTTCCACTTATTACCATGGACTGTTGAAATCCCACATTGCTTTTTTTACTTGAGTTTTCTCTTCCCAGATGATTTCTTTCTCTGTCAGAACATTAGTTAACATTCATACTCAGATGACTCACCACTTGTGCCTTCAACCTAAGCCTCTCTGCCAGATCACAAGATGTATATCCAGCTGCTTACCTGCCATCACCTGTACCTCAACTTCACACCTAGTTCAACATGTACAAATTTAAACTCAAAATTAATCTTGACACAATCTGAGTATATATATATATATATATATATATATATATATATATATATAAGCATTCCCTAATGCAATGACCAATTCGCTCATTGTGAATCCTTGCCTCTTCTTTTTATTTCTCATTCCATATATGCAATTCACCACCAAATCCTGTAGGGTGAATCTTCTAAACATATTCTTAGTAAGGATATTCCTCTCCATCTATCTCATTGCCACTGTACTCAATGTTAGCAGCATTCTTCCTGGAGATTTCTGCTATTGTTTTTTCATTTGGTCCTAAATACACTCTTTTGTGTATTTGACTACAAATACACATTATCAAACTGCAAGGAAAAAAAGAAATTAAATAAAACAATAGCCTTTCAATTAGTTCCCACTTTTCTTGGAATAAAGACAAATATCCTCACCTGGACCAATCAGGCTCTCCAGTTTCATGTTCAGTTGCCTCCCCCACCATTCCCTTTGCTCCAGCCATAATTTTTTAAAAAATCCCCCACAGCTGACATAACCCCTTACTACCACAGTCTTTGCACAGACTATTCTGTTTACTACCATAAAGTTCTGTGTTCTCCACCTTCACCTGGTTAGCCATTTTCTCCAGGAAATCTTCCTGATCTCCTGTTATACCCTCTCATACACCGCCTGCATCCTCACTATGAGAATACTCCTCACTGTTGCAACTTGACATTTGTTCACTTATTTGATTGATGTCTTTCTTTTCCTATTGGACTTTGTGATTCTTAAAGACAGGGTCATCCTAGTTCTTTTGCTAATGCTACTGCTTCCAATAACAGCATTAACAATCCCTAAAATATTTCATCATAATTATGTAAATTAGAGTCGCTTTTTATTCTTATAATTCACCTAATTACTACACATTTTCAAATATTTCTGTGTTAGATTTTTGCAACTGTGACCAAAATACTGACAGGAACAACTTTGAGGGGGAAAGATTTATGTGGGCTCATAGTTTCAGGGGATTTAACCAAGGTCGGCCAGTTCTGAGGCGGAAATATTATGGTAGAAGAAGGCGGCTCAACTCATGGCATCCTGGAAGGGGAGAGAGAAGGAGAGAGAGAGAGAGAGAGAGAGAGAGAGAGAGAGAGAGAGAGAGAGAGAGAGAGAAAAGAAGAAGAAGAAGAAGAAGAAGAAGGAGGAGGAGGAGGAGGAGGAGGAGGAGGAGGAGGAGGAGGATGAGGAGGAGGAGGAGGAGGAGACAATGACGAAGATGACTATGACCAGAGGACTACGCAGCAGAGAGGAGGAGGGAGGAAGGGGGGAGGGGAAAGGGGAAGGTGCTGGGTGAAGAAAAATCCTTTAAGAGTTCACCCCCAGTAACCTATTTCCTCTAACTAGATCCAACCACCTAGTAGTCCATCCAGCTATCAATTGCTTAATCCATCAACTGGATTAATCCACTGGTGAGGTCAGAGTCCTGGTGATCCATCATTGCCTAAAAGCCCCATGTCTGGATTTTGCTGCATTGGGAACCATGATTTCAACACATAAACTTCTGTGGACATTCCACATCCAAACCACAAAAGCATCAAAATCTTACATTCTGTAGTACTCTAGGATCCAATAGCATTCAAATTCAGGAAATGGCGATTACAACTATCCAAGACTTAACTCAGAGTACTGTGTCTCTTGGAATAACTCAAAACTTCTAACCTAGGAAGAAACCCTGTCAAATGAAAATGAAAAAAAAAAAAAAAAAACAAAGGCCACACTGTTTATTTCCATACCCATTTGTAGTCTCAGCCAACTGAGGCACACATAGGGAAAAAATATTGTGAAAAGAGAAGGGAAGCCCTTCCCAGCTAACCCTTCAGGGGACATGAGAACTGGATGTAGGTGCACACAGCTTTGTGAGCAGACAAGGAAGGATGACTCAGATGAGGGGAGGAAGGAAACAGGAAGAGGTAATTAATCCAATCACCTCTGGTGCCTCAACATTTTCATATCTAGATTCTTCTACACCACTTCAATTTGCATTTGTTTATGCACTTCAAAAGAGTTTGCACTTCATGAGCACTCTGCTTTCCCAAATAGCTTATAGACATGCATAGCTCAGAGGAGATTAGGAAGAAAATGGTACAAGTGAGAGGAGGAGAGGAAAGAGAACATAAAAGAATAAAGGGGGAGGATGATGGCAAATGGGTGGCGACTACCGCCTGTGTTAGGTGCCTTTTTAAGGATAGCTCCATATGAAGCTTGTCACTCTATGGTGAAAGTTTTTTTTTTTCCCCTTATAGTTTGATTTTTTTTCTATTTTTAATTTTTGGTACCCAAATACACCATATCAGAATCATTTCTGCAACACTGAGGCCACTGCTTTTCATTTAATCCAGTGGATCAACAGCAAAGTTACAGTAAGATTGGAAATTTTCCAATCACAGAGTATGTAGATACAGCTCTGACTCTCCAATGACTTGCAATCTTTGGTAGCTCTAAGTTTAACTCTCTGGGTTGCCCTTTATATTTAAAAATATGCTTTCCTTAAAGGCAATACCTCCTTCCTTTCTGGATACTACCTTTTCCTCATTGCTGTCTTCACTTAGGTTATCCCATATCCTATTTTATATAGAGTACACCTATCCTTGTTACTATTTCTCAAAGGAGTACAGATCAGGAACTCAAATATGCAATAGTATAGTCTACTGGGATAGGCAAAAGATGCACAGTCCAAGTCCGAAGCCAAGGTCAATGTGTACTCTTGCTAATGTGTGATGAATGTCCTATTGGAATCCAAGTAGACCAGTATAAAATGAGAAGGAGAAGGCTCCATTCTAATTAGAATTAAGAAAAAAATTTCACTCAGAATTATTATTTCTCTTAATAAAATCTACCATTTACCAAACTCTCACTTCTAGGCAGCAACTGTGATAAAATCTTTTCATAGATTATTTTACTTAATCTTAAAACAATGGTATCCATGAATGAGGAACTATAATTGCCTGTACTTGTGATGTAAGAAAACAAAAAACTGAGAGACATGAAATAACTTGGCAATGATGATCTGAATAGTAAGTGACACAGCCAATGTTCAAATATAGTCTCCTGACTTCAATGTGTGTGTAGATAAATGTTGATCTGTACAGGACTTCTGTTTTTCTCTATTTCAACCCCACTCAACCACCCACCTGGGTCCTAAGTAAACTGAGGTTTTGCTTTGTTTTTTTTTTTTCTCTCAGAAAACAGCAAGAGAACAGGGCATTGTAAGGCAGTAGTTAGTGGAAGCCTGGCCTACAGGTGATCTCTTTCAATATCATGGTCTTGGAGCAGCTAAGAGACAAGGGACAGAGAGGAGATGATAGAGCCTTAACAGTTACTTGTCCTGGCTGGAAAGCCCCATGCCTCCTTCAGCATGGTCTTCATGAGTTAATTTTATAGATATTTTTTCTTATATTACCAGGTTATTTTATTCCCGAGTTTAAAGCCTTACATTTCCAGGACATTTTCCATTTGTTGGCTTTTATTTTCATTCTTTTCCATTAGTAGAAATGGAAATCATTTATTTTAGGACTAGGTAATTTAGGGCAGGTGTTATCATAATTTTCCAAATAGGCTCAGAAAATCTACATGACAGACCCTCAGTCAAATTCATTTCTAGCCAGAAAGGAGGTAGAACTTAAACCTAGGATTTCCATTTCCAAATGCAGACCCCTGAAGCATGTATGATGTGAATGAATGCTTTAGGTCCAGTAGCATCCTTAGGCCCTATGCCTGCCCGATAGTAAATATATCGAAAGTCATTTTTACAAATTCTCTTCTAAACTGAGTCTACTTTCTTTGTCTTCCATCCCAGTGACTGGCCCCACCGTGTGGGTATGCATGCTACTCATGTTGCCTTTGTCTTTTATCCACTCTATGACCTAGTCATATCTGTTCTATGCCCAATACATAAAATGTGTAATTTTATTTATATCTACCAACCACCACTATCTGAGACTAGGACGGTCTCCTAACTTGTTCCCATTTTTTCACTTTTGTCCCCTTTTATATCATTCTCATACCGAAGCTAGCATCATCTTTTGATAATACAAATACAATCAACCCATAAATTCATACCACCCTTTCATTAATACTTCAATGTACTTCCATGAACAAAACCTTGAACATGGCTAACAAAGTCCAACATGATCTGGTATTTACATTATCTTCAGCCTCATCCATTAATCTCTGCACTGTAGTCTCTCTGGCATTGTACCATGTCCTCCAACAATACTAAGCCCTTCACACAGTTGTTTCCTTTCTCAGGATCACTCATAACTCTTGCCCTTCTTAAACTGTTAATGCCTACTCCTTCTTCAGACTTCAGCTCAGGGGCAAATTCCCTGGCCTCTATCACAGACTCTTCCAAAGAACTGTTGCAGCTCTTATTATTAACACATCGCTGTTGCAATTTTACCTTCATTTATGGAATTATTTGATCCATTTCTGTCTTCCTTGCCAGCCAGTACCTCTTTCTGCTCAACGTTTGCACACTCAGCACTATGCCTAGCATGTGGTCGGGTACACAATGCCTGTTTGTTGAATGAACGCGAGCTGAATATAAGCATAAGCTTCCTTCCCTCTACCAGTTACACTTACCAGGTGCCTGAATGAGAAGGTTATAGGTTTTAGTCCAAATGCCTTCTGGAAAGAGAGTAAAGCTACACTCATACTTTCCACTGAGTGAGGAAGATACATTTCTTAAGAGCAGAGTCCATATCGTTATGTTCTCCGGAATTTGTCTGAAATCCACTACTGACTTGCAGGAATGCTTGTGGGGATAGTGGATGCCATATTGGGGATGATGAAGGGCAATGAGGTCCATCTGATCGCTGACCTTTGACCACTGTGTCTGTACCAACAAGCCTTTCAGCTGTATTTGGCAAGTCATGTTGACATCAGAGCCAGGAACAGCATAAACATCTTCTCCTGCATTAAGTCCCTTTTCCCATACTCCTGAAAAGAAGACATGGGCCATCAGTTTGCATGATTCACATGGAGTGACTCTTAATTAAAACCCCAGCAACTTCAGTAAGGTTGGGCAATAATTCAGGAATTTTCTCCCTGGCTAACTGTGTGTGTTAGTTTTTCATCAATGTGATCAAAATTCTGGACAAGAGTAACCTAGAGGAGTTAAAGTTTATTTTGGCTCATGGTTTCAGAGCATCTGTCCATGGTCAACTGACTCCATTGCTTTGGGCTCTAGGCGAAGCCAAAGTCGTGGCAGAAGCACATGAAGGAAAGCTCATGGCAGCCAGAAAGCAGAGAGGGAGAGAGAAGCTAGGGTCAAAATATAATTCCCAAGGGCACTCCCCCAGAGACCCACCCCGTCAAGCCATGCCATGTCAATACTCAGTAACAACATTCAAATTATTAATTCATCAAATGGGTGAATCCACTGATTATCTTACAGCTCTCATAATCTAATCATTTCACCTCTGAACATTTCTGCATCGCCAGCTTTTTAGGGGACATCTCATATCTAAACCATAATACTGTCTTAGAGACAGAAAACAGCTAGAGAGAGAGAAGCATAGAACTCAATGCGAATTAAGAGTCATTTACTTAAGAAACCATTGATTTATGACTATTTCTTTGTTAGTTTGTCCCAAAACGAATTTAAGTCCTCTGATGACTTGTCGATAAAATTAAGCCTATCTAAAAACTAAAGTGCATCAGCAAATTTAGTGTACAAGTATTCTTACATTTATTAAAATTGACCTTTTGTGGTTATAGACACATATAACACAGAGGTGAAGCTCCACAAAACTGCAAAAATAACTAATATATGTATAGCATTTAAAAATATGAATCTACAACAGACATTTACGGACTAAATCTGTTTAATGCTTTCACATTATAAGGGTGATATGATTAACCCCTTTTTTAAGGAGGAAATGGAAGCACTGAGAGATTAAGTGGTTTTCTCAAAGCCACACACACTAGAAAAAGAACATGAATTCGGTTGGTCTTCTTATAACCTTCATAACCCCCAAACTGCTTCCCAAATTCAATCTGACTGGGTAGGCTAAGAAATTTGATTTTCCATATATGAGGATGGAAAAGACCTTCATCTTCATGTAGTTAGGTCTCCTGAAGAGAGATGGGGAGGAGACACCTCAGACTCCACACAGCATAATGTCTAATCAATTCCCTGAAATGCTAGTCATGAAAGAAGATTTTCTCTCCCATCAGTAAACTGACCAAATGGTACAGGGTACTTAAAATTGATTAATATTGGGTCTTTGATTTGACTTGTCTTCAGAAACGTTTGCCTCAGTTTTAAAATTAGCTTGGTATATTGTCACAGAAATAATATATTATTATGACAAGTCCCACTGAAGCTCACAAAGGAAATGATAAAACGATGACAAGCAGCTGAGAAGAAACAAGACTCTCAAAGATAATTGACAAACAGGAATTATTACACTTTTGTGGATACAAAAATTTGGGTAGACAGAGATTAGTACTGTTCAATGTAACTCCTTATGAATAGCATTTAATAGGAGTATGCATCCATCCAATCTGCAGCATTATATTCCAAAGCATCCTTTGATTTAGAAACTCTTAAAATATTCATAGCTATACCTAAAAAGCACAGTTAATTTGTAAGACACTCAGAGTAACTATAATACCCTCACATTGTGGAATGCAAAACCAATCTTCCTTTCCTCCACTTTTGAATTGGCTTGTTTGTTTCTGGCTGTCACTGTCCTAAGGACTCTGCTTTGTTTCCCAGGGCCATATCTATATGACTCAGTAAAATTCAACATGTGTCCATGTCCAACTCCAAAGACCTTAGTCTTATACCTAAAAGAAAAGAGGTACTTGAGAGATTAAAAAGTAATTGAGCTAAGGTCTCTGAGCATGGATCAGTTCGTGACTTGTCTCTTTTCTTCTTTTTTAGCTTTCTGGCATTGTTCTATCACTTAGAGAGCATTTCGTTTCCAAGAAGCACAATTTCCCAATTACTCCAGCAATCCTCTTAAGAGGGAAATGGGAGAAATTGAGCCACAGCAGTGGCACCACAAACCACCCGTTCCCTTCATGTTTTCAGTGTTCATGAGGAATCCTTTCTAGACTCTGCATCTCCCTGATAACTGCCACTTAAATACATAACTGAAAACTTCAGTAACGATTTGCCCTTTGATGATCAATTTCAGCAACAGTCACAAGGCATTTTAAATGAACAGAAGCCCCTAAAGCAGCCGATCTGACAAGAAAGGACAAGCAGAAGTCTTACCCCTGACAAACTGTATCTGGATGATGGAGTAGACAGCACAGTATGTCCATTTCTTCTCCATTGTCTCCTGAAGAGCTTACACCAGCATTTCCTTAACGATCACAGAATCAATTGATGTCTTTAACTAAGCACACTCCAGCCACCCTGTTCGTGCTCATAAACCCCAAATCTACCACAGGCCTGAGTCTGTTTATCACTTGGCAAAACTCCAGGAAATGAAACGTAGACAGGAAAGTAGTGTGGTTCAGGGCCAGGTTTAACCTTCAACAGAACAATGCTGAAATTGTTCTCTGAAATCACCTTCTTCAGAAGACTTTTCATATCCAAAGATTGTCTCCTTTAGGATCCCTGTCAGTCAAGCTGCTTCTAAAATCCAAACAAAGGAAACCATGCAGAGCAGTTCCCAATGCTCTTTTTATACATTTCTTTTCAAGAACACAAAGCCATTTAAAAAAAATGTGAGCTTGGTGTCTTTCATGATAGGTTTTCTGCCTTATCTTAAGGTATATTTTCTTTCTAGAATTGCTCCAGGGTGAAAGTGCAAAGAATTAACATGTTTAATTTTAATAAAATCTGAAAAGTAACAGGGTTTTGTGTCAGCTATAAAAATTTTACTTTTCCTCTTTTTGCAGGGGAATCCACATTTCCTGGGAGGAGAGAAGTGAGGCCTCCTTTTCCACCCCTTTTCTGGAATATGCTGCAGGTGCCATAGGGAAGCTAACCACTATGGTTGGAAGCCTTTATTGTTGATGGCAGAAGAGCTTATTTGTGCCTAAACTAGAATCCACACAGAGCAAGACTGTTACAATCAGAATCCACAGGCAGAGACTCTATCACTTCAACCAGCTACCAGGCCTGTTCCATCCCCCCAATTACTTCCATTTACAAAGGATCCCAGTGGGGTTGTAGGGAAGTGACCCCTTGGTAAAATTCTTTGCTTATTCACGAAAGAACATGAAGGCTAGTCCTTGCCAGATACTGTTGTATTTGTTTAATATCTTGGGATCAAATTGGCTGTCTTCACTTTCCAACATTAAGCCCAAGGAGTGGGCTGACATGGACAGTGTAAGTTTAATGAACAGAGAAAAATAGTACAAATTATGCATCTCTGTCTAGCCATATGATTGGTGCAATGTTTGGTGACCCCAATCTCATTACTGGAATATAGGCACCACCTAGCAAGACTTAAAACAGATTAGATGGCTTATTATGTTTCTCAAATAGAGGTCAAATGGAGATAGTTTTGGCCAGACTGTCACCGTGTATATATAATCTTTGACAAAGGCTTGTGGGGAATATGGATGATGCTGACATGAAGAATCACCCTGATCATTCAGATGTTAGACTTTAGGTAGGAGAAGAGAATTTGCATGTCAAAAATCAATGGCGGCAATCTTCTTGGATGTCCCAGCTGTCAATGTTGCCACTGCCAATACTTGCCCCGACAAATGTCCTACTCATTATTACTCAGCTAATATTACCCACAAAAACCAGGAGACAGAATTATTTATTTTTAGGGATACCCTAACCTGTGTTCTCAATACCTCCCATCTTCCTACAAGATTCTGATCAATGGGGATATTGGGTTAGGCTGTGCTCACAGTGATTTTTTCCAAGGAGGGTTAGAGAGTTCAGAGTCTTTGAATGAAGAGCAAGAAAAAAACATAACTCCTCTGGGTGCCATAATCTCTTCCTTTTTTTCCTCTGGAAAAAAACAGGAACTCAAAGTGAACATAGCAGCAAAAACAGGCCAGGAGGTGCACTAGAAGATCCTAATCTTTAAATTGGTATTTCTATTAGATTAGAACACGTGAAGACCTGGAGAAGGGATTCTGTTACCTCACTCAATTTGCAACAGTAAGCGGGAGTTTACCTAACTAGAAACCCAATAAAAATCCAAATTTAATGAATTCTCTCAGGACACCTTCTTTGCAGTATTTAAAAGTTTTCTATCTCTTATTGCATTACAGTGAAGCACCTCTTCAAAAGAAAAAAGACCAAAAATTTTTTTTAAATACGCATAAAAGGGAAATTGTCATTTATTTTCCATAGCTACAGACTCCCTTTTAATAGAATCCTGGCCTCTCATTAATGTAGGGTTACTGGACATACTCTTTCAGAAGCTACTGAGCAAATCTGCTCTCTCTAACTGTTTTCAATCTCCTGATTCTGGTTGTTATGTCTAGAAATTTTTCTAGCCTGAATACATCAGATTTGGCTAATTTTCCTTTGGGATCCACCTAGCCTCTGAAAGAAGAACTATTTCAGATGCCCACAGAATCTTAATTGACTGGTATTTTACAGCTGCAAGACCCATGTGGCGGCCCCTCCATAGCTGTTCACATGCAGCAGGTGGCAGCAATGCCCTGCAGACTAGCCCCACTACCCCAGGTGAAGGAAAGCGCCCCCACTGCTTTTTAATCCTGGCAAAACTTCCTAAGGGCCCTTTCAGCATGGGACAGGCATTCTCTATACTTAAAAATAACTCTTTTATGGAAGTCATGTCAATCTTTTCTATTATCCTCCCTACTCACCAAATCCCAATTGTACAGCATTTCTTCTGCCTTATATTATAGTCTACTGCATATAAAAAGAAAACAGAGCAGCCAGTTTCATACACAAAAAGAAATCTTGAACTTCAGAGGCAAATTCAATTATTTACAAAGGAAAGCGAGAACACACATCATTTCTGCTAGAGGCAAGACATGATTGTGTGTTTTGGACAAACTTTTTAAATGTTCTATTTAAACACACTCAATGAGAAAAGGACATTTTCAGAAATAAGAAGTTGAATGATAGTTAAACTTATTTTTGCGGTTTCCATAGTGGTTAACTTAGATATTACTGACGTGGCTTGGATTTTATTCTTTAACTACTTACATAAAAAAATGAAAATATGGAATGTTATACATGTTTTCCAGAATGCTTAGAAAGCACAATACTTGAGGTTTCAGATGTTTTAAAAATATTTTTGAGTGTCAGCTTTTAAGGGATTATTGAAAAGGCAGAGCTCTAGGTGATTCGAACATACAAATGATAAAAGATGGCCGGCCCTTGCTCCTAAGGCACTTGTCATTGAGCTGGGGGGAGAGTATCTATGTGCTGAAGTCAAGTAGCAAAAAGCACCACCCAAGTGAATAGATGGCACAAGACTTTAGAAGAGGAGATATCATAAGGATGGAGTGGGCCAAGAACATCTGAAGTTTCAAATCTGAATTTGACCTTATTATATAAGTCAGCCTGGTAGAAACCACAAGCTAAGTCATTACAGGCAGAGGAAACTGGAAGAGCCAACACTCGGGAGGGTTAAAGTTCAAGACTGATTCAGTGTGTAGGTTATTCTGGTGGAGTGGAAGCTGTATATAAAAAGTCCAAGAGGCAAACTTAGATTATGGAGGTTTTTTGTTTCTTGTTGGAGAGTTACTATAGAGTTTTCAGCATCAGAGTAACTAACGTAACATTGCTTTAGCACAAAGAAACATTTTAAAAGGATGAACTGGGTAAACATGTGTAAGTTGAATGAAAGAAAAGAATAGAGGAAGGCAGAAGATCTGTTAGGAGTTTTATGTTTCCCTAGGCAGTTGAGAAAGAAAGCCCATTGATTGGCAGTCATTATGGTAAAGTGTCATGGCAGGATGGGAACAAGGATGTAGGGCATTGTTTTAGTTAGCTTCTTCACTGTGACCAAGAGACCTAACAAGAACAATTTTAGAGGAGCAAAAGTTTATTTGGTGCTTAAAAGTTTCAGGCCGTAGACAGGTAGCTAGCTCCTTTGCTCTGTGACCAAGATGAAGCAGAACCCTCCTGGCAGAAGGGTGTGGAGGAGGAAAGCAGCTCATAACAAGGAACCAAAGGGGGGAGAGAGAGAGAGAGAGAAAGAGAGAGAGAGAGAGAGAGAGAGATGGATGCAGACAAAATATGTATCCCAAAGGTTCACCCCCTAATAACCCATCTGTTCCAGCCACACTCTACCTGCCTACCCAATTAATCCTTATCAGGGGATCAATGCAACGATTAGGCTAAGGTTATCATAACCCAATCATTCCTTTTGAACACTTTCTTGCATTGTTTCCCACATGAGCTTTTGTGGGACACTTCATATGTAAATCATCACAGGTATGGTGTACACCTTGATATGGAATGGAAATCTGCTTTCCAGTTCACACCTCAGAATTAGACGAAGAAAAACCAACAAGTTGGACTCCTGCTGGAAGAATCGTCCTTCTTGGGTAGCAATTGTCAATTGACTTTGGATGGAAGTGAAAGATAATCTATTATAATCAACCTAGAGTTTTGATTTTCCTTTTGATGTTCACTCAATTTTTATAAGTTCTGTGAATTGCAATGTAATGAAAAAATAATAATTTTGTGAGACTTAGCAGAGTAATCTGTTTTATTACTACTATTTCTGCCAGGCTTAATTCCATCCACAAAAGACTAATTTTAGTTTAATGAATGTTTTCAGTTACTTCAATATCTGCTCATTACAAGAAAACATTTTAAAGGGACAACAAAGAAAATAAAAATCAGTCAGAATTCTAACTACTTAAAGACTATCACAACTTATATGAGGTATATTTTTCTAGACTTTTATGTCATCATGTATATATGTAGAAAACTGATTTTTACCGCATGTACATTAACCTGAACTTTGTTCCTTTATAGCATATTATAGACACTTTACATGTTATAAAATAAAGATTTACTTCTTCCTTTAAAATAATCACATGATATTTTATTGTATGGATATATAGAAACTATTTATAAGTAAGATAAATATAAAATTTCATCCTGTTCTACTTTGAGAAATAGAATTGTAAAATCCAGTTGAACAATCTCTGAATTTTTCTTGAGGAAAAAGAGCTATAGATAGTGCTAGAGAGTGCCCAAGAGAGCAAAGGGGAGGAGAGAAAGAGATTTTGATTTAGTCAAAGTCCTGGTAATCTAATGCTTACTTAACACTAACTTAATAATGTTGAATTTTTCAGAAATATACTTAAGAAAACATTAATATTTCCAGATTAAGATAATACAGCCAGGATTAAAAGAAACATTAAAAATTGTATATTCTACCTGGTTTCCAAGCACTGATATTTATTTAGAATGTCTCTTCATATCCAATGGAGAAAGAACACTTTGGAAAACTGAGACATGTTT